TCGATGTTTCTCTCTCTCTCTCTCTCTCCTTCCCACTCTATCTGTGCAAAAAATGGAAAAAAAAATGTCCTCGGATGAGGACAAAAAAAAAAAAGAGGTGGGAAAGAGACTATTCTTTGTGTGTGCGTGTGTGCATGCGTGTATGTGTGTGTATGTGTACATGGCAGACTTTACTGAAGATGTGGAGACACAAAGGGGGTGTTCATAGCAAAAATACAAAAACTTAGTTGAATATCAGACAGTCATGAGCTTAAAAAGAGCCTTCGCCATTTCCACCACTGGATTCCACTGTCTACAAAGCTCCTGACCACCCCTTCTCAGGAAGTAAACAAAAAGCAGGTTCCAGACAGGTTCCTGCTCCCAGTGACCCTCTGTCCTGCCTTGTGAGACCCTCCCCTGGCTTGCTCCGGGCCCTGCCTCCTCCCGGCCTGTTTTGAGTAGAGTCTGTTTTATTCTCTAAAAATAAGTGTGTGTGCACACGCGCATGTGTGCGTGTGAAGAACAGTTAGGGGAAGTTCTCTATCCCAAGTCAATGACTGTCAACAGGTGTGTGCAGGATGTTTGAAACACGCGATTCCTGCCTTTTTAGTCAGCAGCTCTGACTGCTTTGCCCTTAGACTAGCGGTTCTCAACCTGTGCGTCGCCGCCTCTTTGGGGGTCGAACGACCCTTTCACAGGGGTCGCCTAAGACCATCGGAAAACACATATTTCCGATGGCGATTCATGACAGTAGCAAAATTACAGTTATGAAGCAGCAACGAAAATAATTTTACGGTTGGGGGTCACCACAACATGAGGAACTGTATTAAAGGTTTGTGGCATTAGGAAGGTTGAGAATCACTGCCTTAGATTGTCAAAAAAAAAAAAAAAGACAACAGCCAAACAATAGCTGTCTGATGTAAATGAATAAAAATCATACCTATTTTTTGTCAGCTTGGCGAACCATATAATGTTCTTGGTGTGCCGCAGAATCTTAGTCCTTCGTTTAGGGGCCCATGAGATGGGAAAGGGTGAGAACAGCCGCCCTGTCTCAGCGCTCACTGGGACTGGGTGGTGGGGAGGGGGGTGGTGCTGTAGACTCTACTTCTTCCAGGAAGGGCAAAGCCCTAGGCCAAGGGGTGAGTATACCGAAAGGGGTGAGCTTGCAGCCATTTTAGGCCAAATCCTGGGCTAAGTGAGGTAAGTACCCAAGACAGGGTGCGAGAACTAGGCGGGGGAACAAGGCGGGGAAACCTCTGCAAACAACTTCATAAAAGAAAAAAAAAAAGGGCCCTGGCCAGTTTGGCTCAGCGGTTAGAGCGTTGGCCTGCGGTCCGGAGAGACCCGGGTTCGGTTCCCGCTAAGGGCACGTACCTCGGTTGCAGTTTGTCCCCGGCCCTGGTTGGTCGTGCGGGTGGCAGCCACTCGATGTGTCCCTTTCACATCGATGTCTCTCTCTCTCTCTCTCTCTCTCTCTCTTCCTCTCTCTCCCTCCCACTCTATCTACTCTGTACAAAAAAAAAAAAGGAAAAATGTCCTCAGGTGAGGATAAAAAAAAAAAAGAAAAAAAAAAAGGTCTAGATGGTTGGCATGTTGGGTTAGCAAAACCAGAACTGCGCAGGCATCCACTTTCTGGAAGAGGTAACGGAATGCTACCCATCTTAAAATCTAATCTGCCTTCGATCTGGTTTGGAGAGATTAACCCAGAAATCATCCCGGCTCATTCAGGCAGGTGTTTACCCAGCTCTCAGACCCCAGCGCCCAGAAAACACAGACTCGGATGCCTCTCCACCGTTCCCTGGTTCTTCCGGGCTCCGGACATTTAAAAAATAAAGGTGAACACTGAACTCAAGCAGCTGACAGTCATTGCTGGCTTCTTATCAGTTTATGGCAGCAGGAACCGTCACTCAGCACAAGCGTCAGGTTCTCTAGGTCCGCCCTCTACCGATGTATTCCCACAGACGGTGTCACAGCTACGCACAGTATTTGGGGGCCTACAATCGTTGGGCTGTGAGAAAGAATGTAACTCAATATCGCAAAAAGATACTACAAAATCTAAATGAACATAGACCATAAAATAGTTTGAAAGCAGTTTGTAGATTTTCTCGCTTCCTAATAATTCTCGAGAGGTGCCAATAAAAAAAAAAATCATAGCCAACAGGAATTTAAATGACTTCCTTATCGTCAAATAAATCCAAAAGTAAAATGATGAATATTCCTTCAAATGCAGTTTTATTTATTTATTTTTTTAATCCTCACCTGAGGACATTTTCCCACTTTTTGTTCAGATAGAGTGGGAGGGAGAGAGAGGAAGAGAGAAAGAGAGAGAGAGAAACATCGACGTGAAAGGGACACATCGGGTGGCTGCCACCTGCATGACCAACCAGGGCCGGGGACAAACTGTAACCGAGGTACGCGCCCTTAGCGGGAACCGAACCCGGGTCTCTCTGGACCGCAGGCTGATGCTCTAACCGCTGAGCCAAACTGGCCAGGGCTCAAATGCAATTTTATAGCAAAAAAACCCCACACAAAACAATAAAAGATCCTTAATTGCAGAATGGGGTGAATTACTGTGTTGGGCATGTTTGGCGGTTCCCCAAATAAACGTGCTGCTGAGGGTCTGCAGGGGGTCATTAAACAGCTCTGGGCTCCCCTTCGGTTTGGCAAAGGCCTCACTTTCAGGCTATCGACGCTGCCCAGGTGGGCAAGCCCAAGACAGACCTCGGGCAGCCAAGCCCCTTATCAGACCCAGAGAAGCCGGTTTCCTCCTAAGGCGTGTCCTCAATCAGCCCATTTCCTTTACTTACTTTGGCAGAGTGAACGTTTCCGTGGGAGAGCTGCCTGGCTGCCCCAGTGCTCTGCAGGCTGAGCTGGGAGCCGGGTGCTGGATGCTGAGCGCCAAGCACAGAGCCGGGAGCCGGGTGCTGGGTGCTGAGCGCCAAGCACAGAGCCGGGAGCCGGGTGCCGGGTGCTGAGCGCCAAGCACAGAGCCGGGAGCGGGTGCGGAGCGCCAAGCACAGAGCCGGGAGCGGGTGCCGGGTGCTGAGCGCCAAGCACAGAGCCGGGAGCCGGGTGCTGGCTGCTGAGCGCCAAGCACAGAGCCGGGAGCCGGGTGCCGGGTGCTAAGCGCCAAGCACAGAGCCGGGAGCGGGTGCTGAGCGCCAAGCACAGAGCCCGGAGCCGGGTGCCGGGTGCTGAGCGCCAAGCACAGAGCCGGGAGCCGGGTGCCGGGTGCTGAGCGCCAAGCACAGAGCCGGGAGCCGGGTGCCGGGTGCTGAGCGCCAAGCACAGAGCCGGGAGCCGGGTGCCGGGTGCTGAGCGCCAAGCACAGAGCCGCGAGCCGGGTGCCGGGTGCTGAGCGCCAAGCACAGAGCCGGGAGCCGGGTGCCGGGTGCTGAGCGCCAAGCACAGAGCCGGGAGCCGGGTGCCGGGTGCTGAGCGCCAAGCACAGAGCCGCGAGCCGGGCGGGAGCCGGGTGCTGAGCGCCAAGCACAGAGCCGCGAGCCGGGCGGGAGCCGGGTGCTGAGCGCCACGCACAGAGCCGGGAGCCGGGTGCTGGGTGCTGAGCGCCAAGCACAGAGCCGGGAGCCGGGAGCCGGGTGCTGAGCGCCAAGCACAGAGCCGCGAGCCGGGTGCCGGGTGCTGAGCGCCAAGCACAGAGCCGGGAGCCGGGTGCCGGGTGCTGAGCGCCAAGCACAGAGCCGGGAGCCGGGTGCCGGGTGCTGAGCGCCAAGCACAGAGCCGCGAGCCGGGCGGGAGCCGGGTGCTGAGCGCCAAGCACAGAGCCGCGAGCCGGGCGGGAGCCGGGTGCTGAGCGCCAAGCACAGAGCCGGGAGCCGGGTGCTGGGTGCTGAGCGCCAAGCACAGAGCCGGGAGCCGGGAGCCGGGTGCTGAGCGCCAAGCACAGAGCCGAGAGCCGGGTGTTGGGTGCTGAGCGCCAAGCACAGAGCCGGGAGCACAGAGCCGGGAGCCGTGTGCCGGGTGCTAAGCGCCAAGCACAGAGCCGGGAGCGGGTGCTGAGCGCCAAGCACAGAGCCCGGAGCCGGGTGCCGGGTGCTGAGCGCCAAGCACAGAGCCGCGAGCCGGGTGCCGGGTGCTGAGCGCCAAGCACAGAGCCGGGAGCCGGGTGCCGGGTGCTGAGCGCCAAGCACAGAGCCGGGAGCCGGGTGCCGGGTGCTGAGCGCCAAGCACAGAGCCGCGAGCCGGGCGGGAGCCGGGTGCTGAGCGCCAAGCACAGAGCCGGGAGCCGGGAGCCGGGTGCTGAGCGCCAAGCACAGAGCCGGGAGCCGGGAGCCGGGTGCTGAGCGCCAAGCACAGAGCCGGGAGCACAGAGCCGGGAGCCGGGCGCCGGGTGCCGAGCGCCAAGCACAGAGCCGGGAGCCGGGAGCCGGGTGCTGAGCGCCAAGCACAGAGCCGGGAGCCGGGAGCCGGGTGCTGAGCGCCAAGCACAGAGCCGGGAGCCGGGCGCCGGGTGCCGAGCGCCAAGCACAGAGCCGGGAGCCAGGTGCTGGGTGCTGAGCACCAAGCACAGAGCCGGGAGCCAGGTGCCCGGCGCCAGGCACTAACAGGTGCTGCCGTAAATGGTTAAGTCCTGTGGGAGCCGAGCGCGCACACCGCCCGCCGGCGCACCCATTACACCTGCAGGAGGGACAGCGAACGGCCACAATCGCACCTCCCGGCGACCCCCGCGACCCCGGCCCTGGGGGCGTGGCCACAAACCACGCCCCCGCCGCCGGCCCCACCCCGTCCCCGCCCCTCCTGCTGTCGGCCCGGCAGGCGCCGCGGCGCGCTCCTCTGACGCGCGGCGCTGTCCTTTGACGTCGGCCCCGCCCCGGCCCCGCCCCGGCCGCGCTGCACCGCCCTCCTGCCGAGCGGCTCCTCCCGAGGCGGCGCTCAAGCGGCGGTCGCGGTCGCGGTCGCGGTCCCTGCCCGGCTGGTGGTCGCCCCGTGGTCCCGGGTCAGCGCAGCGGCCGCCCAGCCCCTCGGGCGCGCGGGTGATGGTGCGGAGGGGCGCGCGGACGCGGGCATGAGGGAGGATGGAAGCGCAGGACGAGGTGTCGGCGCGGGAGCAGCACTTCCACAGCCAAGTGCGGGAGTCCACGGTGAGCAGGGGGGCGGCCGCGGCCCCCTCCAGGGCCTGTCCCTGAGCCCCGGCCCATCGGCCCCTCCGCCCCCTCCGCCCCCCGACCTGTCCGTGCGCCCCCGGCCTGACCCTGAGTCCTCGACCTGTCCCTGCGCCCCCCCACCTGTCCGTGCGCCCCCGGCCTGACCCTGAGCCCTCGGCCTGTCCCTGCACCCCCGGCCCCTGCGCCCCCCCACCTGTCCGTGCGCCCCCGGCCTGACCCTGAACCCTCGACCTGTCCCTGCGCCCCCGGCCCCTGCGCCTCCTCGACCTGTCTGTGCGCCCCCGGCATGATCCTGAGCCCTCGACCTGTCCCTGCGCCCCCGGCCCCTGCGCCCCCCCACCTGTCCGTGCGCCCCCGGCCTGACCCTGAACCCTCGACCTGTCCCTGCGCCCCCGGCCCCTCCGCCCCCTCTGCCCCCCGACCTGTCCGTGCGCCCCCGGCCTGACCCTGAGCCCTCGACCTGTTACTGCGCCCCCGGCCCCTCCGCCCCCCTGGCCTGTCCCTGCGCCCTCGGCCTGTCTCTGTGCCTCCCGACCTGTGTATGCGCCCCTGGCCCTGTTCCTGCGCCCCCGGCCTCTCCGTCCCCGTCCCTTCCGCCCCCGGACCTGTCGGTGCGTCCCGACCTTGTCCGTGCGCCCCCTGCCTGTCTCCGCGCCCTCGGCCCCTTCGACCCCGCGGCCGCCTCCCCCTGGCCACCTGCGCCGCTTTCCGCCCCGGCTCCGCCCCCGCCGCACGCCCACCCTTCCTGCACGCGGTTCCGTCGAGTCACCTGTCGTCCCACGGGGAGTGAGGTGGCGCCACCTGCGCGGGCTCTGTGCCTCCTGGGCCAGTGGCCACGGCTCGCGGGTAGGCAGGTGTGCGTGCAGGTCCGCCTGTGCTGGGGGCGCGCGCAGCCCAGCTCCGGCCCCCAGCCCGCGGCCTCCCGCACCAGCCCGCTGGCCTGAACGCCGAAGCCGCTGCTGGGTGGGAGGACCGGCGGCTGCCGGGTCGAGGCCGCTGCTCCCTGGAGGCAGCTCCTCCGGGAAGTCCGCCGTGCTCGCCCCCTTCGGGGTCCGCGCCGGGCCCTCGGGAATCTGCTCAGGTGCTTCACTTCTTCCTGACGCACAGAAACACAGCGCAGTGGTGCTTCTGCGTGTTTGCAAAACGGCGGAAAAGACGTTTGCGGTGACCCCCTCCTTCCAACTTCTCTCAAATTCAGCCTCTCTTGGTTTGAGGTGAAAAATTGTGGTTTACAATGGCCTAATGTGTGCAGTTCTTGATCTTGAACATTTGCCAAGTCATGCCCTGGAATTTAAAGAGGAGATACAAAGTCTGAACTGGTGGGGTTTGATACAGAGCATCTAGTTTACTTTTATATATTTTTTTACTGATTTTTTTATTTTTATGTTTTTAGAGAGAGCCACATGGATGTGAGAGAGGAACCTCCAGAAACATCCATTAGCCGCCCCCTGAACGCCCTCCACTGGGAATCAAGCCCACAAACCGAGCATGTGCCCTGACCCGGAATTGAACTGGGACCTCTCAGTCCATGGGCCGACACTCAGTCCACTGAGCCAAACCGACCGGGTTTAATTTTAACGTTTAAACTGAAGCGGAAGTGCTGAGAGGCGTGTACAATCGTGTGCACACGAAGCATTTCCAGTGTGACCCGGAACCCAGGAGGGGAGAGACTCTGGTTAGCATCTCAGAGGCCCATCCCTTCCCCCTTCCAGTTGCTCTGGCTCCTCTCCTGGAGGGTCACTTCTGTCCCCGTCTTAATAGGTTAGTTTTGTTCAGGTGTGCACTTCAATGTAAATGGAACCTTATCGTATGCACCCTTTTTTTTTTAACCCTCTCCCGAGGATAATTTTCCATTGATTTTTGGATAGAGTGGGAGGGAGGAAGAGAGAGAGAGAAAAACATCCATGTGAGAGACGCACATCAATGGGTCGCCTCCTGCGCGACACTAACCAGGGCTGGCGATGGAACCCACAACCCAGATACATGCCCTCGACCAGGAATTGAACCCTCGACCCTTTGGTACGAGGGCTGGCGCTCTAACCACTGAGCAGGACCGTCCAGAGTGTGTCATAGTATTTATTCCACAAAATATTTTACTTGCATTTTTGTGATGATTAATGCATTTGAGCACCTTTTCATATGTTGATTGGTCATTTGGAAATCTTCCGTGAGCTGTCTTCAAGACTTTTCTCCATTTTTAAATTAGTGTATCTTTTTACTTGATATGCAAGAGTTCTTTATTCAAAATATGATGCCTTGGGCCCTGGCCAGTTTGGGTCAGAGGTTAGCGCATCGGCCTATGGACCAAAGAGTCTCAGGTTCGAGTCCTCTCAAGGGCACATGCCTTGGTTGCAGTTGGGTCCTCGGCCCTGGTCTGGGTTGTGCGGGAGGCAACCAATTGATATGTCTCCCTCACATCAATGTTTCTTTTCCTTTCTCTCTCTCTCCCCCTCTCCCCCTCCCTCGCACTCCCTCCCACTCCCTCTGAAAATAAATGGAAAAATATCCTCCGGTGAGGATTAAAAAAAAAAAAAAATGACACTTTGTTCAGAGAAACACACACACAACTTTTTATCCCATTGTATGGCTGCCTTTTCACTCCTCAATGATATTTTCTCAATTTTAATATAGTTCCCTTTATCAAATTTTTTTCTTTTGTGATCAGTGCTTTTTGTTTGATGTCTCATTGAAGACATCTTTGCTCGATCCAAAGTTATGAAGACCTCCTGTGCCTCTCCCTAAATGCTTAATTGATTGGCTCTTCCCACCGAGATCCTAGTCTACCTGCAGTTTATTTCTCGTGGGTGCGGTGAAGTGGGAGTTGTATGTGCTTCTTCAGGTGGATGTCTGACTGGTGACACACCACTGTGACTTTTGTCACTACTCAGGTGACTGCATGTTTGTGGGGTTTACGTTTGGACTCTGCTGTTCTACCGGTCTGTTTGTTTTTGGCTTTGTTTTTAATTAATGAGGTAAGCTGTCATTTGGATTGAGATCTCATGGTGTAGTAGGCAGGAGCTTTATTACTTTGTCCACTGCCACTCTTAACGACCACATCGGTCAGGTTTCTGTGTAATAACAAGGGATTACAGTCAGACTCTGTTCAAGAAGGAGTCTCTAGAGAAAACCAAAGGCGGTGGGGGAGACAAAAACAAGGACACTAGCCGGGCTGGTGTCCTTAGTGGATTGATTGAGTGTCGCTCCATGGAGGGAGAGGTCCTGGTTGGATTCCCGGTCAGGGCACAATCCACAGTAGGGGGCGTGCAGGAGGCAGCCCATCAGTTTCTCTCTCACATCAATGTTTCTATCTCTCCCTTTCTTGTTCTTAAAAAAAAATAAAAAAAATAAAATCAAATAAAAAAACAAAAAACAACAACAACAAAAAAAACCAAGGACGCTAGAAGAAATTCCAGCCTCTGACACCCACAGTGACATCAAATAGTAAATACAGTGTAACTCACAGCCAGATCCACAGTCTCACACAGGTGTGTGTACCTCAGTTGTTTTTGCCCTGTGCATGATGTCTGACTTTCAACAGAGGTGTCACAAGGCATATGCAAAGGCAACACACACAGCCTAAGTAGACAAAGCGAGCATCTGAACCAGACTCAGGTATGAAAGAGTTGGGACTTATAAAGCTGGACTTACAAAAACTGATTAGTATGTGGAACACTCGAATGGAAAAGACACACAGCATGCGAGAACAGACGTGTGCAACAAGCAAAGAAATGGAAACGCCGAAGGAAGAGTAGAAGGCACATGCATTGTAATAGAAACGAAGGATGCCTGTGACGGGCTTATCAGTTAGCTCCACGGGACCAAGGGAGGAGTGAGTGAGCTGTAAGATATTCTGACAGAAACGGTCCAAACTGAAAAGCAAAGTAAACGGAACAGAGCAGCCACGAACTGTAGGACAGTCACAGAAGATACAACACACGTGTATTGGGAATGCAAGAAAGAACAGGAGAAATATTTGAAGCAATCATGGCTGAGAATTTTCCCAAAATTAATACACACACCAAACTGCAGATCCAACAAGCAATAACTATGGGTGGTGCCCAGTGGGTACTAGACTTATTGGGGTGAGCACTCTGTAAGGTATATACATATCTAACCACTATGCTGTACACCTGAACTAATATAATACTGCATATGTCACCCATAATTTTAAAGTTAAATTAAAAAAATTTTTAGTTATTATTCTTTTAAATTACTTTAAGGACCAGGAAAATAAATATAAAAGAAAGGAAAATCTACCCTATGTAGTAAAAGACAGGAAAACACAAAAATAATCACTGGAGATGAAAACATTAAAATCATAATTGTAAATGAGACAAACTAGGAAAAGGCAGATGTAGGACAAATACCAAAATAATCTACATCTAGGCAAATCATCTTCAGGATTTAATTATTATATTTTGTACGTGCCCCTAGCGCAAACTGAACCCTGGACTCTCTGGTCCGCAAGCCCGTGCTCCAACTGCTGAGCCAAACTGGCCAGGGCTAATTTTTTTTTATCTTCACCCGAGGACACTTTTGCATTTATCTTCAGATAGAGCGGGAGGAAGAGAGAGAGAGAGAAACATCGATGTGAGAGAGACGCATCAAGTGGTTGCCACCCACACGACCTCAACTGGTGCGGTGGACAAACTGCAACCAAAGTGTGTGCCCTTAATGGGAACCAAACCTGGGACTCTCTGGTCCGCAGACCGACGTTCTAACCGCTGAGCCAAACCGGCCAGGGCTAGGCATATCATCTTTAGACTGTAGAAAATCAGAGACAACGAAGCCAGGGCAGCCCTGGCCAGTTTGGCTCAGCAGTTAGAGCATTGGTCTGCAGATCAGTGAATCGCGGGTTTGATTCCGGTCAAGGGCACATACTTCGATTGCGGTTCATCTCTGGCCCTGGTCGTCAGGTCCTGCAGGAGGCAGCCAGTCAATGTTGCTTTATGACATTGATGTTTCTTTCTGTCTCT